GCCCAGCGGCCATGGCTCACGGGCCCAGCCGCTCCGCGGTATGCGGGATCCTCCCAGACCGGGCACGAACCCGCGTCCCCCTGCACCGGCAGGCGGACTCCCAACCACTGCGCCACCAGGGAAGCCCGCTTCAGACCTTTTAAGGGCTTTTTGTATTTACGGACAAGCTGTTTTCTAAAATGCTGAATCAGTTTACATTTCCCCAATACTTAAAAGATACATTTGATGCGGCGGGCAGGGAGGGGCTCACAGAAGGCAGTAGAGGAGGGAGCCTCTGAGAGGAAGGCATTCGGGGAGATGAGACGGGGACGTCTGGGCTCTCCTCCCGCTCTGCCATTGTCGACAAGACCTCACATCTCTCGGAGCCTTGGTTTCCCCACTTCTGAAATGTGGGGATAATTCCTTCTCACAAAGTTGCTGGATGCACCTCCTGAAGCCTTAGAGTATAACATAACCCTTACAACGCGCGCGCGCGCGCACACACACACACACACACACACACACACACACACACACACACACGGAAGGGTTATGTAAACTGTAATTATAACCTGAGGTTCTTTTCCCTGTTGGATAAGCTTTTTTAAAAAAAAAAAAAGAGTGGAAAACATTGAGAATCCTCTCAAAGTCATTAACTGGTTCTTTCAAGGAGATATCAATACTAACAATAATGATAATAATAATGGCCGATGTTGACTGAGCGCCTCCTGTATACCAGGACACGCAGGACAAGCGTTTACATGTGCTGGGACCGCTTACCTTGCCCCGACGGGGGATTGTTGTGCTGTCCCACGTGGGAAGCCGTCCTGCTGTTGGTTAATGGAATTGTGTCACTTGGCATCTGGAGTCTTAGGGCCGAGATGATCTGATAAGCTGTTGACCCTCCCGGGTGATAAGAGGAGCCAGTAGTTCAGGGTCTGAACCATTTATGATTAAACAGAGGATCGGGTTGCCATCCTTCCTTCTCGGTGAGGTTTGCGATGCGCGGGCTGGCAGGACAGGGGACTTGAGAATGACCCTTGTTTTGTCATTTGCAGACTCCGGGGGCATCCTCACCACCTGCTTCTCTGTGCTGTGACAAACCATCCAGGTGAGTGTCCAACACCGAACCTCCTTTGTGTGCCTCTGGCCTTGGGTCAGATCTCACAGAGGAAGCCTGGGCACGGTGTTATTTTATTCTGTAGTAACCTTAATGTCGTTTTCATTTTTAAAGATAAATGCTCAAAGGTGATAAATATCATGTTTATGTCTCTTTCTGGATGTAATCTCCCAGCATTAGAAACGCTGGTTGTGGAAACATTCAATAAATAATTGTGTAGCTATGATTTGATTGTGAAACGTAACATTGGGGGGAATTCCAGGATTGACTGTATCACAGGGGATGAGCTCTTTATTTTTTAATACCAGTGTCAAAGAATGTGATTTGATTTTTTTAAAGTAAACAAAACTCTTTCACATTCATGTCTGATGCATAAGGTAGAGAAAAAAATCTTGGTGATTGTTTGAATTCAAATAAACCAATTAAAAAATACATTTATGATACTGGGTATTTGAAGATATTGTTTCTTTTAGGCGTGATAATGGCATTGTAGATATTTCTAAAAATATCTTTGTCTTTTAGAAATAAATGCAAAAATATTTATAAGTGAAATGACATACAATATCTGGGATTTCTTCAATGCAATCAAAGTGATGGAGGAGGTAGCAGAGAGTATGGATGGAAAAAGGTTGGCTCTGTGTCAGTTTTGAAGTTGGATGATTGGGTGCCTGGAAGTTTGTTAAAACCATTTGGTGTATTTTTAAAGTTTTTTCAGAATTAGGTGAGAAACCCATGTAACAAGAGTAGTAAACAAACAGCAACTACAAACCCCTAAAGCTGGTGGTGGGGAATTTGATGGACTAAAATCGCTCTCCCGTGACTATCCTGCACCCTTCTGTAGTTTCACTGTGGGCTGTCACTGTCTTGGGGTTGACCCTGGCACCTCTCCGCTGGATGTTTTACCTTCCGTCCCTGACATCACCCGCAGTCCTAGGGCCCTCTCCTGGGAGGGGCTCTGGGGCCCATGGTCCCCAGAGCACCGTCCTAGTGATGAGGGAAGCAGAGCCTGGATGCTGCGTGCAGGAAGCATTATCCTGGGCTCACCGGGCTCCGGGCTCTCCCCACACCAGCAGCCCTCCCCTCTGCTGGCTTCATTGCTTGGCGTTTTTACCCTCCTCCAGGCCCCATCCTCCCATACCTGATGCCTGCCCTTGTCCGCACGCCCTGGGTTAACCCACCCGCGGTCTCAGCAGAGCCTGCGCGCAACCCTTCTCAGAGACGCTAGTGCTTGCCTCCCAGTTGCTGAGATTCCCTCCCAGCTCATCCCCCCTGCAGGGCAGGCCAGCCTCCTGCCTGGGCCCGCGGGCCCTCCGCACCTGCCACGGGATGCTACATGCAGACGGGACGAGTCACTTGCAGGTGTCTCCCAGTCTTGGCCTCTGCTCTGCCATGGGCTTCTCCCCTGCTGCCTACTCCTGACGTGATACCCAGAGCAAGGAAGGCTCCTCCCTCCAAGGTCCAGGCTCTGAGCCGACACGCGCCCACTGAGGCCCTCCCTCTGCAGGCTCTCCATCAGGCTTGCTGCTCTGCCACGAGCCTCTCTTCCTCTGTGTGTTCCCTGCTCGTAGCTTGTAGTGCCCCAGTCATGACCGTTAAGGAAGTTGAGATGTGTGCCCTCCTGGGATGGGGCACAGTAAATTCCCAGATGCCTGTAATCAGGTCCAGGTGTGAACAGTGAGCGAATGTCCCTCAACGTCCACTGTCCTGGCACTCGGCCCCTCCCCTGACAGCCTGCCGTGTGTCTCCCAGGCCTGCAGGGCTGAGCCCCGCCATGGAGGACGGCCGCGAGCTGGACCTCACCTACATCACCGAGCGCATCATTGCCGTGTCCTTCCCCGCGGGCTGCTCCGAGGAGTCGTACCTGCACAGCCTGCAGGAGGTGACGCGCATGCTGCGGTCCAAGCATGGGGACAACTACCTGGTGAGCGGGGACGCAGAGCGTGAGGACGGTTGAGGGGACACCGAGGGTGAGGACGTTGGGGGACACTGAGTTTGCTGAAACTTGGCGAAGGCGCCCACGTGCGTGGACTGAGGAGCTTGCGGGCGGGAAGGCAGGCCGGTCCCTCCGCAGCTCAGTGCCCTTGGGGGCCTGGTGGATGGGGAGAGGTGCCGGGGAGGGGGACGCACCGCACGGAGGCCGAACTGGCTGCCACGCACGGCCCGCGGTGGTCTGGGGCGTCTGGGCTCCGCACTTGCGCCCTGAGGGCCGCCGGCTTCTGCCCCGGCTGCTGGGCTTGGCGTCCCTGTCTCCGAAGCCCCGTTCCTTCCCTCCCGCTGAAGGGAATCGGGGG